TGTTTCAGGGAGCAGAGTACATAAGAAATGTGCACAGCTTATTGTGGTTTCTATTTGTGTTACTAGTAGGTGAGGAAAAAGCATGAACATTACACTTGAATGATATTTTAGACTGCTGTAAATAATGCTCTCTCTGCTTACAACACAATGGTTAAGTCAATTGTCATCTTAGATTTTCTCAATTTGTGCCTCTGAGAGGCTACCCATGAAGTTTACAAGTTGTTGCATTACTTGGTATGGTTCATGATGAGTTCATAGTTCAGCTGATCGATAATGACAATAAACTTCGCCCCTATCTGAAACCACCTTAGTGGTATTACTGAAAAAGTCAGAATTCCTTTCTCTGTGTCTAACAACAAGTTACTTGTCTTACATGTAGGTACGTTGTCAAGACCTAACCAAGCAGGCTTTTCTGAGGTGAGGAGTGTATGATGAACTTGGTGGCAATGTTTTGTGTTGTCGAGTTTGGTGCAAGTGATGACCTCCAGAATAGGGACATAAGAAAGTCACCTAGTGACTTGATTAGAAAATCTGGTTTTACCTGATGCACCTCTTGTAATTTGTATCCTGTTTTCAAATTGTTTTGTACATCTTATGATCTTGAAACTTGAAATCTCTTTAAGTTGTGGCTTCAATTGTACCCTATTTTTTTAACCACTCATTTTTCTTTCTTGTTTTAACTATTATTTTATATCTGTTTTCATGGAAGATTAGAATACTAGCGGGAGAGGTTCAGTGACCAGAACATAAAGAGGCTGAGCCATTTAAGTGGTAATATAAGTGTAAATTTTATTACAGATTCCTTGTTCATGACTGGCATGCATAAAAATTTGACTCAAAAAAAAATACTGATTCTGTGAGTTACTTGTGTTAGCATAATGTATGGTTTATTACAGAATTTTGTTTCCCAATTATGGATGTGGCCAATAATGCATTATTTATTTTGCTACTCTTGAACATAACTGATGATAAATATCACCAAAATAACTGAGGCCACTTTGTAGACTGAGACTGTTTCAGACATGTTCTATAGGCGTGCAGGTGAAAATAAACCAATTGATGGAAGATTTGACAAGAACAGATTAGAGTTCTTGGGTTTGATGATAAATCTTACTTTTGTTACTCTTCCCTAGTTTTATCCTTTCAAATGGTCTTGTTTGAGTATTATAATGCAGTCTTCCTGTACGCATTAGATCTGCTTCCACCAAAAGTGATTTTAAACGGAAACTTAAGACATTTTTATTCAGCAAGGCATTTTGTTCGTACAATTAGTTTATATTTAGATTTTCGTTTAGTTTCTTTTTCTGCAAATTACTTTTCTTATCCTCGATTGTAATTGTACAGTTTTCTTCTTTGATTTCATAGTGATTGTAAATGGTTCTTATTTAATTTGTATTCATTGTAATGTTTGTAATGTGCATTTGATTATAGTTTTAAAGAAAATGTGCAATATAAATATTGAATATTATTATAATAATGGTTTATACATATTAAGTTTGTTATGCCTTTCTATATACTGAAGCGATAGTATGGGGGTGAATAATGAGGAATAAAAATTTAGGAGACTTCAACAGTTGTCTCTCATAGCGTAGAGCTCTATTGTAAAGTTGGCTTTACAAAGTTTAAAAAAAAAATGTGAAATTATTTTCAATTGTTTTTTTAGGTCCAACAAGTTATTTAGCTTGAATTTGTTGTGGAAATAATGAAAAAGGTGGAAAATTAATTTTTTCAGAATGACAAGGTGAGAAACTTATTAAGTAAATGATTATTTTTGCACCATTGCCAACCAATGCTTGATTGTTAACATTGGAAAACAACATTGGAAAAGGTTGTGGATCAATGGTGTTTATATTAGTCAGAAAGATTTTACCTCATGTTTAAAACCACAGTTGAAAGCCAGTGATGACTATGTATATTCAGTCATAATCCACTGATGTTTACTTCTGAAGACTACTTTGATACTGAGGCTTTCATCTAATAAAATCAAAGTTCCTAACTCTGTTAACACCAAAATCTTACTCCCCCACTCATAATCTTCTTTAACTTCTCTCCTAGGTGTCTTCTAAAAAACCATGGACACAAAAGCTGTGTAACTTCAATGAATGTCTTCCAATTAGACTTTGGATGTGATTTCTACTTACTTGGTATACTGAAAAATTCGCAGTAATGATGAAATGTTCCAAAAAGTCTTTGTATGGTTTACTACTTGTGTATTGTTGACAGTAGTGTACAGTCCTGTCTGTATTACAACTGTTCTGATTTTCCATTGTCCCAACTTTTACATCTGTTGTCAAAAGGACAAGAAAGCAAGAGCTTCCAGCATACTGGGGTCATTAGTGATACAGTTCAAGCGGGCACTAATTCCAGAACCAGAATTTATTTTT